TAACCAGATTTAAATAAAATGCTCCATTTGCAAAATAAAGGCATTTTAAGATTGAACTCGTATACCTCACCGTGTAAAATTTTGAAACCATCATCACTTTCATAGTTCATCTATTCTCCACGAGTGCCAACTTTGATTTGCCAATATGATTAGTTTTTCTCGATTCCCACAGTGGCCGTGTAAGACTTAAATATGTTGAGCCCATGAAGCACAAGAGAGCTTCTTTGACCCAGTTTTTGTTTGAGTAGCTCTGAAGCGATCTGTGCACGGTAAGAAAAAAGTACCCAACGGCCAGTTCACTTTTACCTACTTTTGACTAGTTTGTCTCCTTTTCTCCTTCTAATGTTGTCAAAAACGGAGGAGCAAAACCACTCAACAGGGGTAGTAAAGTGTGGGAACCCAACGTTGAGTATAATCATATTTACCTACTGTTGGGTACAAATAACATACTTTTGGTTAAAAAGCCAGTGGAAAATTCTTTTTGAACTGCACACAAGTAAATGAAAATTACTTTGACCCGCTTTACCTACTTTTGGGTTCCTGCACTATAGTGCCGAGATGAGTGAAAAGAACTTAATTTTGGGTACTTTTTTCTAACCGTGTGCATGATCATGGGGGAAATTCTAGGATCATTATAAGAAGGATATTAGCGAACGTATTCTGAGAAGAACTCAGAGGGAATTAGTAAAATTTACGTTTATTTGCTGGTTTTTTTTTTTTATGTTTCAACATTTGGTTTACCATTTGGCTCTTCATATTTGTTCTAGTTAATTGATTATGCTAATATGATAATTGCATTTAGCGTTAATTTACAGGATACCCTTTTAAGGGCTTGTTTTAGTTTGAATTTTAAATTTTGATCACCTACCTACTTGAGCACAGCAAGGTTGCAAAGACTCATTTCAGCTAAAATAATGTTTTTCGGAATAATAAAACCAATAGATGGTATGATGGCATGTTTTACTTGTAACTTACAAGAAGAGGTTACAAAGTATGCGTTGGAAACATAAAACCTGTAAATTTTGCTTTCTTTGAGTCACAATCAGCGATTTGCTGATCGCTGAGTGAGTGAGTGAGTTTGTGAAAAATCGCTGATTGTGACTCTCATGAAGTGAAATAAACAGGTTTAATATGTCAAACACATTCTTTGCAACCTCTTCTTGTATCCTACCAATTCAAAATTTGATCATGGCATCTAATTAACCACTTCATTCGAGCAGATAAAATGACGTTTACTACCACTCGAACTTTGAAATGAAACATTATTTTGAGATTTTTTCTTCTAGAACCTCGAAAAAAATAGCCAACATTTGTGCGTTTCACAAAAAAATAGAAATTAGTTGGTCCAGTTTTGTGAAATCGCTGGTAGAAAGTCACACCAAAACTGCTTGACAAAGTGGTCAATTATTTCATAATTTAGAAAAACATTGTTTTAGCTGAAATGAGTCTTTGCAACCTTGGAGCACAGGACTCAGATGGAAGTGAGACAAGATTAGAATGAAGAAGAAAAAAAAACGAGGAAGTTAAGGGGAAAGGGGACGTCATTATTTTTTTTTTTTGGAAGATCAAAAATACTTTTTTCGGTGTTCCGGTACACGGCGAAAGATAACGACCCAAATTTGAGTTTAGTTCACTCATAATCGCCAATAGTGCAGGAACTCAGCGATGAGTAAAATTTGTCTCATGGTTTCCTGTGGAAAACCTAAAAAATCTGTCGGAAAATGAGGAAATTGACGAAAATTTTATTCAGTCTCGGAGTAGTACCAATAGACTGAGTGAATCCAATCTTTACTTTTCTCAAATTCGGGAATTTTTCCCTGGAAAATCATGGGAAAACATGAGGTAAATTAACTCATCGCTGAGTTCCTGCACTTTTGGCGATTATGAGTGAACTAAACTCAAATTTGGGTCGTTCTCAATCGCCGTGTAGGCAAGAAAATGCAATGAACACATTTTCATGGTGTTGAACAAGAAAAAACTGCTTTTGAATTTTTGAAAATAATGGAAATAAGCAAATTCAACAGACTATTTTTTTTGTAGTAAATGTTACTGGTTATCCACCAAAACTTTTTTTTTTTTCCACCAAAAAGAACAAGGAAACTTTACTGAAACCCGATGTTGAGCTTATTCCTCTGTACTTGTACAAAAACAATGATACACATTGTTGGAGAACTTGAGAAAATTTCGGTTTGAATTTTCACCTACAACTTATTAAAACGTCCAGTCATAACCATAAGCCTAAGTTTGTTGTCAATGTTTCCGGGACATGTTAATGATTGCATTGAACGTTAAGTGGATTGAACCTTCTAGAAATTAAGACGATGTCATTATTGATAATAGTTCCTTGCCAAATTTTGTTCGTATCTTACCGTATAGGTATTATAGTAATTACGAAAGATAAAGACTTTTCTAACAGCAGAAAATTTCTGCTAAATTCTTTGCTTGTACAGTTTGGCAAAAGATCATGCAACTACCCCGAAAAAAAAATATACAAATCCACTTGACAGCTCGTTTGCCATTATTCATTTTTACAGCAATAACTTTGATTAAATTTTAATCAGAGTAATAAAAAAATATCTGCTTTCAACATATTTTTGCTGGTCAATTTTCAGCAAACAATTTTGCTGGAAGGAGATAATCATAATTTGTCGTGTAGCCTTAGTTACACACAGTGTAACACAGGAAAAATCAAGCTTAGGCCTAAGGGTTCAGTTTTATGCCAAAATCAAAGTATTTACTTGAGAAATTTGAAATTGATTTTCAATTATTTGCTGTTATTTTCTGAAACATTGAGCATTGTTTGAAATTCAATTGAATTGATCTTAACGTTTTTCAGCATACTGTTTGGAGGTACATTTATAGCATTCACAATATAAATGTTCACTTTTAATGAAAGCAGATCCGCAGAGAAACTATTATTCTCACATATTTTAAAAATGTAAATGCCCCTGTAATTGTTTCAATAGCTACTATTGAAGGTTTTGTCACGAGAAGATGCTGCTTGTGTCTAATGAATAATGAAAGAGTGTGATATTGTATGAATTATGCTGAACCTAGCCATTTTTGTTACTGGTGAGCTGATACCTTAACTATTTATCTTTAAAATTCCGATAACAGCTTATTTGATTATGCAAAGATAAATACCTTAATTAACATTTTTAAACTGTGTTACCGGAATATATCAAAATATTTCGTGAACAATCAACAATTCAACATTCGCGCTTATCTCCCTAGCACAGACTTCAAAATCTTACACAGGTCTGCTGTCTCTTACCGACTAATTCAAACAGTGTATCTACCTTAATCAAGCCGAGATGTCTGAAGTTGCAACCGTAGCCGCTGCTGCAGCACCAGCTGCCACCTCGCCCGCCAAGACAAAGAAGCCAAGGGCCCTCAAGGGACAGGGCAAGCCCAAGAAGCCATCGACCCATCCCCCGGTGAACGAAATGGTTGTTGCCGCCATCAAAACCCTGAAGGAACGCAACGGATCGTCGCTGCAGGCCATCAAGAAGTACATCGCTGCCAACTACAAGTGCGACGTTGCCAAGCTAGCCCCGTTCCTTAAGAAGTCTTTGAAGAATGGCGTCGAGAAGGGAACGATTGTCCAAACCAAGGGAATCGGTGCATCGGGATCATTCAAGTTGAAGGCTGAAGCCAAGAAAGCCGCCACTGAGAAGAAACCGAAGAAAGCTGCAGGTGAGAAAAAGGTCAAGAAAGCTACCGGAACGAAGAAGCCAGCCGGTGATAAGAAAGCCAAGAAGCCCGTTGCTAAAGCTGCCAAGAAGCCAGCTGGTGAGAAGAAAGCCAAGGCTGCCGGTGCCAAGACCGCGAAGAAGGCCGGAGGCGTGAAGAAGGCTACTACTCCCAAGCAAAAGGCCACCAAGCCCTCGAAGACCGCTGCCAAGAAGCCAAAGACCCCGAAGCCGAAGAGAACCACCCCAGCCAAGAAAGCGGCCCCGAAGAAGGTCGTCAAGAAGTAAACTCGGAACGTTGTTGATCTACAGCAACTCAAAGAATTACCCAAAACAGTCCTTTTCAGGGCTACCAATAATGCAGCTAAAGAGTTCAAGGATTTCGACATCATATTCATTAATTAATCATAATCATTAATCGACATACATCATCAACATGTATCATTTAATGGCACATCTTATAGTGAATTTGTTTATTATTCAGTTTCAACCTGGATGGGATCTGCTGTTTTGCACTTCCAAAAAGGGAAATGAAAATTCCACTACCCTTAACACATTCTTGAAAACCGAATGTTGATCAGCCATAATAAGCTGTAGCAGACCATGCCACATCGTCCAAATGACTTTATCCACAAATTATGGAACATGAGAATTTCACAATCAAATATCTCTATCATTGGTTTCTGTGAATTTCCACCAGAAAATGAGAAAATGTATTTCTGTGTTGGAAATTCTATGAAGCTTTTCATTTTATTCTATCCAAAATAAACAGTAAAATTATTTGAGTGTTATTTTGAGATGTGACAACACAGCGAATGGACACAACGTAAATGTACAGCAAGCCCAGCGATATACCTGTGGAAAAGTGGAAAACCTCAAAAATCAGCCGGAAAATGAAATAGTTTAGTTCTAACTGTGTGTCCACAATATACATTTTTCTCATTCAGAAAAAGTTTATCCTGGATAATGTGTGAATTCGTTCCTGAGTTCCCTTTGGGCGGTTCTCATTCGTCGTATGTACCCTCTAAAAAATCTTTAGGGGTTCTTTAGGGGTAACCCGCGCTCGATATCTTTCCCTAAGAAGCGTACGGGAACTCATCTTACTTGAGCTGAAATTTCATCTCGCCCTGGAAGTGCACAGCGTACCACATCAAAATATTTACAAATTATTGTCGGCACTGAATTCGTAGTAGTGGCAACCAGGAATGTTCCATCATATCACTGCCACCTGCTACATTCCGGTAAGAAAGTCAATTCAGAAACACCTTTTGTATTAATATGGTGGCCCTGAAAAGGGCCGTTTTTTTTGTTTTGAGTCGATGAAACTAATTTATCCCCCGAATCCGTAAAGAGTACGTCCCTGCCGCTTCAACGCGTAAACGACATCCATTGCGGTGACAGTCTTCCTCTTCGCATGTTCGGTGTAAGTAACGGCGTCACGAATAACGTTCTCCAGAAACACCTTCAGTACTCCTCTGGTTTCTTCGTAGATGAGACCGGAAATTCTCTTCACTCCACCACGACGAGCCAAACGACGGATAGCGGGTTTGGTGATGCCCTGGATGTTGTCACGCAACACTTTTCGATGACGCTTGGCTCCTCCTTTGCCAAGGCCTTTTCCTCCCTTGCCGCGTCCTGTCATTTTCTAATGAGATAGTTGAATCGTCGATGAAGGTTGAAACATAAGTGAACAAAAATTCCAAATTTTGGCTGTTTTATACCTACTCGAGGGTTAAATTCTTTTTGTTAGTTGCTGTGTTCTTGTTCTTTCATCGTTTCTGATTGGTTGAACACAGCGAACGCATGTTATAAAAGAGAATGGAATTAATTTTTATGAACATTACACAGTGTGCTCTCATCGAATACGCATCGCAACATAACAATGGCTCGCACTAAGCAGACCGCTCGCAAGTCTACTGGAGGGAAGGCTCCTCGCAAGCAGTTGGCAACAAAGGCCGCCCGTAAGAGCGCTCCAGCCACCGGAGGTGTGAAGAAACCTCATCGCTACCGGCCAGGCACCGTCGCCCTGCGTGAGATCCGTCGTTACCAGAAATCGACCGAACTGTTGATCCGAAAGTTGCCTTTCCAACGTCTGGTCCGTGAAATCGCCCAGGACTTCAAGACCGATCTGCGCTTCCAGAGCTCGGCTGTTATGGCTCTGCAGGAAGCTAGCGAGGCCTATCTGGTCGGTCTGTTCGAGGATACCAACCTGTGTGCTATCCACGCCAAGCGTGTCACTATCATGCCGAAGGACATCCAGCTGGCTCGTCGTATCCGTGGTGAACGCGCTTAATTATCCCATCAAAATCCTACAAAAACGGCCCTTTTCAGGGCCACCACGATGATTCTAAAGAGTTTGTAAGTGAGCTTTTAAGGTTCAGATTCTTTGTTCATTCCGTTCCAGTCTAAATTTGGTAACGAAGTAAACGAGATTTTGAAAACAAACATACAGCCGGGTATCCCATGCAAATCATCGCGAACTTGGCACTACACACTTAAATTCTATATAAATTTTTCGTTTGACTAGGGATTTGCATATTCTATTGGAATAATTGAATTTTCTGAGAAGTACATGATCATGCTTTATGAATAATATATTTCAATTGATTTACGAATTGCCGACTGGGCAGTTGAAATTTAAGTAGGATCTAATTTCAATTATGGAGCGTTTAGGTTCATGTAAACAAAAACAAATTTTAACTTACGCCTTGTTTTATACAGTGATAATCTTACCAGAACCTTCCAAGACGACCAAGTAACAGGTAAACGTTGCAGGTGCCGTTAAAAAATAATAAAATTACCATAAAATCTATGTCGCTTTCCAGTGGAATGGGCAAAGATCTTTTTGCTTAGGTTAATTTTAACTTAGATATCACATAAAAATAAAGTGAAACTTACTTCAAAAGGCCTATACTACCTATTAGAATTATATATGGATTCAAATTAATTCTTATGAACCGATCGACATAATAAATTTGCAAAAACTTAAAATTTTTATGAAAAACTAAACTCAGAAATTTTGTCACTTAGATGTTACAAGAAAACATGCATAGATTTTTTTCCATCTAGTTTTTCACGTAAGTTTTACGTTTTTCATATGTGGATTGATTTGAAAGTTCTAATTTCACTTTACATAGGGTACTGTACAAGCAATTATTTTGGCGTACCACGACAATTGTTAAACTAATTTTAATCTGTGAATATTGTGAGTACTTACACAACGGTTATTAAGGAGTCATTAAAAAGTGCTATAAACGCTTTTCACCGCTTGCTGTACAATCTTCTTCTTCTTCAATGTTCATTTATTTTAATTTATTTTAATCTTTTTGTTATTTGTACATGATATTTAGTTAAGTGATTTAAGTTTAACTTTTTCAACCTTTAGTTAACATTCATTTTACATCAGTGATGTATGTGTTTGTTTTTCTTTGGGAATAATTGTGTGTTTGGATACTCATGTATCTCTGTGAATTTGATAATCTACTTAACCTACTTAACCTAATATTGCATACCCTAGTTTACCAGCGCTCGGATGAGCGGATGCTCCGAGAGTGTAGCACCATAGAGGTAACTCTAAGACTACTGGGTCACTCTCGTTGAAATTTTCAAACGATTCATCGATTCGCTCCTGTACCGTCTTGCATCCTGCGGTTCGATGTAGATCACGTATCCTCGTGCCGAACGGGGCATCCAGTATTGTCCTCAGCAGCCGGTTTTGGACCACTTGTAGCTTCTTCTTGTGGGTCTCAGCACACGTACCCCACACCGGCATGGCATAGTTGACCACCGGAGCGATGATCATGTTGAAAACTGCTAGCTTGTTCCGTTGCGACAGCCTAGACCGTCGTGCTATCAACGGGTACAACGATCTCGATAGCGCGATGCATCTGTTCTTGAGGTTGTCGGTGTGGGTACGATAGATTCGCTTGTCATCGATGGTGACTCCGAGGTAGTTGACTTCGTTTGCCCACTCCACAGGCCGGCCGTTCACTCGGATGAGGCAGTCGGCTGGAGGCAGTAGTCTTGATGCTGGTCTATGTCGGAAGAGGATGGCTTGACTCTTGGTTTCGTTCACTTTGGTCTTCCAGCTGGTCAGGTACGAGACGTACGCCGTTACGCCCTGCTGAAGCCGATACCGATAGATGTTTGGGGATCTACCGTTGGCCATGATGGCACTGTCATCTGCATACAGCGCGAGGCTGCATCCAGCAGGGAGTTGTGGAACATCGGAGGTGTAGATGTTGTATAGGATGGGGCCCAGAAGGCTGCCCTGAGGTACACCCGCTGGGACCTCTTGGAGTTCCGAAGCAGCACCTGGAAGATGTACTCGAAATGTTCTGTTTGTGAGATAATTTCTTACCATTCTCGCGAGGTAGGCCGGGAAGTTCGCTTGCACCAGCTTGTGGACTAGCCCGTAGTGCCAGACGTTGTCGAAGGCCTTTTCCACATCCAGGAGTACCATAGCCGTGTTGGTGGAGAGTGCCTTGTTCCGTTCGATGGTGTTCTCCACTCGGACCAGTTGGTGGACGGTTGAATGTCCCTTCCGAAAGCCGAACTGCTCCGGCACGATGACATGATGCTCTTCGATGTGTTCCATCATACGTTGGAGAATGAGCCGTTCGAAGATCTTGCTGACTGCTGATAGCAACGTGATCGGCCTGTAGCTCGATGGGGCAGTTGGGTCCTTCCCCGGTTTTGGGATAGGGATGACCTTCCCTGTCTTCCATCTGGTCGGGAAATAGTTTAGCTGGAAGCATCTGGTAAAGATTGCTGCCAGGAAACGGAACGCCTTGCTGGAGAGCTTCTTCAGAACCAGGTTGAAGATAGCGTCGTTGCCGGGGGCCTTCATGTTTTTGCCGCGTTTCACTGCTGCACGCACCTCATCCTCGGTTACTTGACCGTCGAACGGCACATCGTCGACTTGTTCGTTGAGCTGATTGATGGTACGTTGCACCGCAGCTTCGTGGGGACTCACCATGCCTGCACCGATGTTGTGCGCTTCGATGAGTTTGCTGGCGATGGCGTTGGCCTTCTCCGATGGGGATACCAGGATGCCTCCGGTGTCGTCTTTCAGTGGTGGAACTTTTGCTGGTTTTTTCTTTAGGACCTTGGCCACCTTCCAGAACGGCCTTGAGTGGTCGCTCATATGTTCGATGCTGCTTGAGAACTGCTCGTTCCTGATCTTCGCCAACCGGTCCCCAATCTGGCTGTTGAGGTGGGAGACTTCTTGTTTTTTCAGAAGGCATCCGGTCCGTTGGAATTGCCGTCTGACGGTGTTTCGTTGCTGGATCAATTGCCGGGTGTAGACTTCAATCGTGGTGAATTGTTGTCTCACCGGTACCCAACGGATAGTAGCCTCTTCTGCAGCGTGTACGATGTCTTCGAAAGCTTCCAGCTGAGTGTCGATGGCTTCGATGGATGGCAGATCCATATCTTCGGGAAGTCGTGAGTCCACCAGGCGACTGAATGCCACCCAGTTAACGCGATGATAGTCTCGTCTCATCGATACCGGTGCTGTTGTTGGGTTGAAATCCAGTTCACACACCACCGGGTAGTGGTCGGAGCTCAATTCATGATGGGTGACTGGTTACGAGAGTGCCAGGTCGGATAGGAACACGTCCAAGGTGGATGTTACTCCGGCTGGGGAGAGGAACGTTGGTTCGTCTGGAAAATGAATGTCACACGTACCTGAGCTGAGGTGGTTTGCAAGGAGGGTGCCATTTTTGTTACAGTTGTGATTTCGCCATAAGGTGTGGCGGGCGTTGAGATAACCGGCTACCACAAAGCCGGTTCTATTGTCGGTGAGCTTTTGGAGATCTTCCGCGAAGAGTTTTGCTGTTCCATTACTGTCTGCACACTGCCTCGGTACGTAGACGGCAAACAGCACGATGTCTCCATCAACAGCATGTATTTTTACGCCGATTGCTTCGACGATTGTTGTTTTCGGATGTGGTACGATCTCATAGCGGATGCCATGTTTTACGATGACAGCTACTCCGCCGCCGGTTGAGTTGGGGCGATCTAGCCGGATCATCGTGTGAGCAGGGAGGGAGAAATTTGTTTTTGGGTTGAGCCGGGTTTCGGTGATAACTCCTACGTCGATGTTTTGTTGAGCAAGGAAGTTGCCCAACTCTATCTTTTTCGCTCTTATTGAGCGAGCATTCCAATTGGCAATTCGCATGCTGCGGGGCTCAGTTGACTCCATATTTGCAGAGCAATTCACCAATGACCTTAACCTGGTCTGTACCTTTCTTGCACTGCTTCAAACGATCGCAGAACTCGCTAAAGATGGCCCACAGCTCGGCAGAACTGTAGAGCTTGTCTTCGCTTTCCTCGGAAGAGGAATCCGTTGTGGTTTGCGCACCGGCTCTGGTGCGAGGATCGATACGAGGTTTTTTATTCCCGGCAGACTGTGGGTCATCGTCGGGTTTTGGCCTGGGCGGCAGCGGAGGAAAATCCTTTGGGTTCGGAGCAGGCGCAGGAACCTTTTTGACTTCCTTCCGTCCCGGCTGGTGCGTGGTTGTTGCTTGTTGCCGAATCCGGATGTATTCGGCACGTTTGGGGCAGCTACGGTCTGTAGCCGAGTGAGCGCCACCGCAGTTCCCAACAAACAATTGAGAGCTCTTATAAAACACCTGAGTTGATCAAACGTTGAATAATAGCTTCCAGAGTTGAACAAGAATGTAGTT